TGTGTGTGTGTGTGTGTGTGTGTGTGTGTGTGTGTGTGTGTGTGTGTTGGTATCTCATTGTTTTGTTTTGCATTTTCCCAATGGCTAATGAGGTTAGACAACTTTGATGTTTATTTGGATATACTCTTTTATGAAGTACCTGTTAACATCTCTTGCCCATTTTTGAATTAGGTCTTTTTCTTACTGCTTTGTAGTTCTTTGTACTTACTGGATACAAGTCCTTGGTCAGATACATGTGCTGCAAATATCTTCTCCCACTCTGATTTGTGTTTTTTATTTTTTGTTTGTGTGGTTCTGTTTTGTTGTTTTACTGTCTTAATGGTATCTTCCAATGAATGGAAGCCAGTTTGTCAGTGTTTTCCTTTATGGTTAGTTTTTTGCAACCTGCCTAAGAAATGTTTACCTATTCTAAAGTCATGAATACATTCTCCTATTTTATCTTCAAGCTTCATTTTACCTTTCACATTTAGATCTGTAGTCTACCTGGAATTGATTTGTGTGTGTGATGTGAGGTAGAGGCCAGGATTTTTTTCTAGGTGGACATCCAATTGATCCAGAACCATTTACTGACAAGACTTTTATTTTCCTTATGCTCTCTGCAGGGCCAATTTTGTCGTAAGTTAAGGATCCATATAAATATGGATCTGTTTCTGGACTTCCTGTTCTGTTTTATTGGACTCTTTGTAAGTCCTCATGTTAGTACCACACTGTCTTAATTCCTGTAACTTTAAAGTAAGTGTTGATATAGTATAAATCTTCCAACAGTGCTGTTTCTTCTTCAAGATTATCTTGGCTTTTCTTAGTCTTTTGCCTTTCATTTAAATTTCAGAGTTAGTTTGCCAATTTATCCCCCAAAAACAAGATGGAATTTGACATGTGGGGTCGACAAATCAATTCAGGGAGAATTAATATGTTTATGACATTGAGTCTTAACTCATGAACATGGCATGTTCCTCCAATAAATATTTTATAGTTTTTCACATAGATGTCTTATATATCTTGTGTTAGGTTGAGTCCTAGAAGGTTGGTTGATAATATTACATGATATCTTATTTAAAATCTCACTCTCTAATGACATTTTTAAAAGACAATATTTTCATGGTTTGTTGTTTGTATAGAGAGATATAGTTGATTTTCATATATTGACCTTGTATCCAATGACCTTGCTAAATTAACTTACTAATTCTAAGAGTTTTATTTATAGGTTCCTTTGGATTTTCTACATATGATTATATCATCTACAAATAATGGTAGTTTAATTTCTTTTTTTCCAGTCCTTATACTTTTTTTTCTTTGCTCTTTTTACACAGGCTAGTATCTCCAGTGCAATGCTGAACAGAAGAGATAATGGGGACATCCTTGTCTCAATCTTGGGGATATCTTTCAGTATTTCACTATTAAGTGGCCTGTTTGCTTTAGATGTTTTAGTGATATTCTTGATTATGCTAAGGAAATTACTTTCTATTCCTAAGTTATTAAATGGGCTTGTTTTTTCCTAAAATCATGAACGGGCATTGATTTTATCAAGTGCTTTTTCTGCATCTACAGATATAGATAATCTATAACTTAAAATTTTTATTCTATTGACATTATTTTTACTCCCAGTGATTGATTTTGGAATATTAAGACAATCTCTCATTCCTGAGATAAACTCAACCCAGCAATGTTGTATTTTTCTGTCCAAAATTATTTTTATTGAGATTTTTGCAGTTATGTTCATGAGAGATTGACCTTAATTTTGTCAGATTTGGTATCAGGATGGTGCGGAAATAAAAATGAGTCAGGAAGTATTTCTTTTCTGGAAGTGTTTGTAATTTGACATTTTCCTTAAATGTTTGGATGAAAACTCTTGATAACATGCTTCAGCACTAGTGTCATAGGCCACATTTTGGGAAACAATTGTCTAGGGCAAGACTTAAACATGAAAGAGTCAATTCTTGTCAGTTTGAATGCTCTTGTTTTTGTTCATTTCCTCCCTATGCAGCACCAGCCGCTTTACTTTTTCCTTCCCAGCTGTGTGGGGCTCAGCTAAGTCACCACACGGGAGAGTGGTAAGGCCATTTGAGACCAAGCCTGGTTCTCAGGACTACACTCTCTCCCTGCCACCAGGCAGCCTGCCCCAGTCCTGCTCAGCCATCTCTACACTCCTCTGACAGAATGAATGCCCTCGATGATGTCCCCTTCAAGGTGCCCAATGGCTTTGTGATAGGCACAGAGCCCCTCCCTGGGCCAGAGCTCAGCGTCCCAGCTTGCAGGGAGCTTCTGCTGGGTTCTATGGTAAGTATATCTCTCTGTCCATCTATCTCCTTGTCTCTGGGTCTATAGATCTGATGCTGAGACTTGGGCTTGGTTCCTTGATTTTATTTTATTTTCATTTTTTTAAGAAAGGAGCTACAAAGCCTTTAAAAAATTTTTTTTATGTTTTTTTATTTTATATTTGAGAGAAAGAGAGACAGAGCACAAGCAGGGGAGGGGCAGAGAGATGGAGACAGAATCTGAAGCAGGCTCCGGGCTGAGTCATCAGCACAGAGCCCAACACAGGACTTGAACTCACGAACCATACATGAGATCACAACCTGAGCCGAAGTTGGATGCTCAATCGACTGAGCCACTCAGGTGTCCCAAAGCCTTTTTTTTTTTTTAATATTTATTTATTTTTGAGAGAGAGAGAGAGAGAGAGAGAGAGAGACAGAGACAGAGACAGAGTGTGAGCAGGGTAGAGGCAGAGTGAGAGGGAGACACACAATCTGAAGATGGATCCAGGCTCTGAACTGTCAGCATAGGGCCTGATGGGGGCTTGAACTCACAAACCGTGAGACCATGACCTGAGCTGAAATCAGGAGTCGGACTCTTAACCGACTGAGCCACCCAGGTGCCCCTTGTTCCTTGATTTTAAAGGGCAACAAGGCCATTTCTGTTATATTCTAGAGAGTTTTGGAAATAACCCAAGAGGAAAGGTGTTTCATCATGAAGTCTGGTGGCTTGTGATGGGGATTATTCAGTGGGTCTTATTTTAAGCTTAGGATAACTGGAAGCCTGCCTATATGAAGCAACTGAGAGTCATTGCAAGGATACTCCAATTGCTCCCTTCTCCGTCAGCCTCCTGGCACATCTAAAATTCTACCGTTTAGGATCACTCTTATGAGCTAAGACACTATCTCCAGAATCCCCTGTTAAAATGCAGACAGTTACAGGGAACCCATTAGAGGGGATTACTATTCCATAGACCCAAAACACATCAACCCTGGAGGCACCCTCGAAACACCCCATGCCCCACAGCTCACACACTGGGATGTGTACCCAGTGTATGTGGTGGTATCACATACCCTCAAGATAAACATGATTATTTAACTTCTGGGAGAGTCAAGTTTACTTGAAGATTTAGGGGGAGATCTATTGCATTTGTATTATAACACAGGTGTATCATGAGCTAGAACACAAAATTCACATGAATTTATAAAATGAAAAACAAGATTGCAAAGAACTGTGGAACTGATGTGGGGCCTCTCAGACTCTTGTATGTTCATTCTCCACTGTCTGCAGAGGGCTTTGTAAAAAATTCTGAGCATCTGGGTCATCCCTCACTCATTTTGCACATGGGAAACCTGAGGTCCAAAGAAGGGAAATGACTCGTCTGAATTAGTGGCCATGGCAAGACTAAAACTCAGGTTTTGACTCCAAATCATTTCATATTAGCTAAGAGCAGGATTGGAATGTAAGAGACACTGGACATGGATTGTTCCAAGGTTAAAAAAAAAAAAAAAAAAAAAAAAACAGGTTGTAGGAAGTCAGGTGCAGAGAGTCCAGTCCACAAAGGAGAAAGGGGCTCTAGTGGCCTGGGGGCACAGGAGCAAGAGACTCAGTGTGGTTTTTGTTTTATCTGCAGAACCTGAGGTCGCACTGAGGCTCCTTAGGACCAAGGTCTCCAGAATGGAAAGAAGCTCTGTAGAGCCCAGAGCACATGTCCAGGGGCCCATCCTCTGTAGGGCAGGAGCTCTCGCTTTCTCCAGGCAGCTTGTGCTATGGGCTCTTGCCCTGAGTCAAAGTCGGCCTCTATGGTTGGGAGTAGAAATTTGCTTTACTGGAGGTGGATCATCACAGCTTTTCCTTACATGCTGAGCTCAGGCCAAGCTGGGAAGAGGCTTTTCTGAAAGCTACTTCTCTTAGAAGCAGAACTGGGCACCTTTCTGCCAAGTCCACATCTGGTGTCCTAGCCAAGGTGCTGACCCTGGCTCTGCCCCCCTCCTCTCAGCAAGGGTATCTGCACTCCCTTAAGCCATTTCCCTTCCTGGGCCTCCATTTCTTTTACTGCTGGGCCAATCTAACAGAGAAGCATGAGACTCCAAGTATGATTTACAGCTTCTCCTGGTAAGTCCTCTGAGTTCACTGGGCTGTATTCCCAGTATTTGGAACTTGGAATACATTTTCCCATAACAATAATGTTATAGATAGAGGTTAGATTACTTGTGAAAAAATAATAACCACAGCTACTATAACTGAGCACCTGCTGTACACTGGGCCTGTGCTTAGGTGCTCTTTATACATTCACTCTTTTTTCTTTCTCATATTTATGATAACCCTTTTAGCAGGTATGTGTTCCCACCCCATAGCACAGGAAGCCAAAGCTCCCATCCAAGTGATGCACAGGGTTATGTTGCCTGTGCGTGACACACTCAGACTCCAACATGTGTCTGTCAGACCCCAAAAGCCCATGTCCACCCATCCATCTGGCTGCCCTCTCCCTTCCTTCTACACTCAGAGCCTTGGCAAGTCTGTGTTTTGTTGTTTCAGAGTTTCCCTTTAATGAGAGTTCATCACTGTTAAAAATTTTTTTAGAGAAAAAGTACATTCACATAGTTTAAAAATGAAAAAAAAATCTATAAAATGGTAGAGAGCAAGTGTTGACAAACATTTCCTGTAAAAGGCCAGATAGTAAAAAACTGGGGCAATTAAACTCTGTTGTAGGGAAAGAGTTATAGTTTTGGAAAGGGGTGGGCGGGAATGGTTGTGTTCCAATCACACTTCATTTATAAAAGCTAGGTGAGGGGTCAGTTTGGCCCACAGGCAGCTAGAATATCTTGGGAGAGTGAAAAGCCTCCCACTGACACCTTCTCATCCACCCACCCCCTCACTGGAGAGAGCTGTTACTCATTTTCTATATATTCTTCCAGGGATTCTTCTGTGTATATGCACAAATAAGTACAGCTATTGCCTCCCTTTTTACACCAAAGGTAGCATTTTTTTTAATGTTTATTTATTTTTGAGAGAGAGCGAGCGAGCACGCAGAGCAGGGAAGGGGCAGAGAGAGAGGGACAGAGGATCTGAAGCAGGCCCTGTGCTGACAGCAGAGAGCTCCATGTGGGGTTCGAACTCACGAGATCATGACCTGAGTCAAAGTTGGACACTTAACCAACTAAGCCACCCAGGCGCCCCACAAAGGTAGCATTTTATACATACACTGCTCTTCTTGACTTTTTTTTAACCTAATATGTTTTAAGATCTTTCTGTATCAGTACACGGAAAGCTTCTTCAGTTTTATTTTTTGCTGTATAGCATTGTGCATTATATGGATATATCCTACTTTATTGAATGGGTGCCCTCTTGATGATCACTTGGGTTCTTCCCAGTCTTTCCCAATTATAAACAATGTTACATGGAATGACTATATGCAAATGTCCTTTTGAATTTTTGTAAGTATTTTTCCAAATTGCCCTCCATAGGGGTCACTGATTTACATCCCAGGCAGCACTCTACAAGAGGCCTGTACCTCCCACACTCTCCCACAGAATGTCCTCAGACTTTGGATCTTTGCTGAGGGCTAGGCGGATGGTATCTCAGGGTAGTTTTAATTTGCCTTTCTCTTGTCAAGAGTGAGGTTGAGCAACTGCTCGGGTGTTTAAAAGCCATTTGTATGGCTCTTTTCTGTGGCCCATCCATATCTCTTGTTCATGTTAAGCTGTTGGTCTTTTTCCAGTCTATATCTAGCACTCACTATATTAGTAAATGTAGCCCTTTGTCTGTGATGTGAGTGCTGTTTTCCCCTAGTTTGTCATTCGTTTTTGACTTCGCCTATTGTATTTTTGCCATGCAGATTTTGCACATGTGTGTATCTGTACTTTTATGGCTTTTGGATTTTGATTTACAGTGAGAAAGGTTTCCCCCACTTAAGCTTATCAAGGATTTCTTTCCTGTTTTCTCCTAGTACTTTTATGGTTTCATACATATATTTAATGTTTGATCCTTTTGGAAATCATCCTTGTATAAGAGTGAGAATTTCTTCCAGCTAGCTAACACCATTTATGTTTGTTTTTTGTTTTTGTTTTTGTTTTTAGCTAACACCATTTATTAGTTCGTCCCTCTATTTCCCATTGCTTGAGATGCCACCTTTATTATTTACTAAAGCCCCACAGATATCAAAGTCTCTTTCTGGACTTCCTATTCTTTACCTGCATCCGTGGAGGCCGAATTTGCTATTCACTTGTCGTTGCTATTCATCCACCCCATTGCTAGCTAAAACTGAGGGTGAGAGTCGGGTGGTGATGGATGCCTGGGATTAAGAATCGGAAGCTGCCCAGACCTGGCAAGTTTTTGGCTGAATAGGTTCCCGGAAGGCCAGGGAGTAGGAGTGCGCCCTCTGGCCCCGGTTTGGGTCCCAGAGCCTCACGTCGCCGTCTACTTGCAGCACGACTTCAGCCTGGAGAGGAGGGCGCTCTTCTGGGTAGAGGCTGTCCTCCGGGGACCCTGCCCGTTCCAATGCGACGCCCCGGGAACGGCGTCAGCGCCTCCCGCCTGGCTGTTGCTGGTCAGTCCCGACCGCGAGCCGGTGCCGATGCCTGCCGCAGACACGGGCCCTGAGGCTGGACCCCAGCAGCGGCTTGAGGAGGAGGTGGTGGAGGAAGAAAACCAGGACGAGGACCACGACGAAGAAGAAGCCGCCTCCGCCAGCGAGGAAGAGCCACGTCCCTGCAGCCCCCAGCCCGGCCCCCCTGCGAGCCCCGCCCCCCCTGCGAGTCCCGGCCCCCCTGCGAGTCCCGGCCCCGGCCATCCACGGTGCTCGCTGGACATGCTGCGCGGCATGAGGTCGGAGCTGGCCGGAGCGCGGCGGAGGCTCTCCGAGGGCAGGCTGGCCGCCCGCCCCCGCGCCCTCCTGCACCGCATCCGCCACCGGGCGCTGAGCCTCTGCCCCAGCCCGGCACCGAGTCAGTGCCCCGTGCCGCCCCCGGGCCCCGCGCCCCCACTCCCCAGCACCCCCGCGCCGCCCCCGCGGCCCTCCACGGCCGGCGCCATGCCCCCGCTGCGGAGTCACAAGCCCACGGTCGCGGTAAGGAACCTTCTAGCTCCGCCAAGCCCGCAGGCCAATAGTCTGGGTTCCTAGCCTGATTCGCAGCCCTAGTCTCCTCCTCTCTGCACTCCTCCTCCTTACCTTTAAATGTTCTCATCTGGCCACGTACTATGCTGTCCTTCCTGTGGCCCTGGGCCTAGAATATTCCCTGCTCAGAGGCCCCCATTCCCTATTTCCCGCTGTTTTGCTTCTATTAGGGCACATGCCACAATAATTGTAATCACCCAGTACCTGTCCATCTCTTAGGGCAGTGATTGGATGGCATCCATTTTTGTTGCCAGGGCACCAAGCTGCAGACTTGGCCAGTAGGGGGTGCTCAGTGAATGTCTGTTGAAGTAATGAACGTGACTCAAATCTAGGGCTTCCCACAGAGCAAGGGCTTCCTGTAGGATGGATGAGCTGGCGACTCAAAGAATACTCACTGAGTAGTTATTTGCTGCTGGGCCCTGAGTTTAAAGAGAGAAGGTCAAAACCACAGGACAAGGAGAGTTGGCCAAAGGGGTGTGGGACAAGACAGCACTGAATAGTGAGAGGGATCAGGTGCTGAGAGGAGGTGACAGTTTTTGCAGACTGGGAGGCTTTGGGACAGAGGATGTGCACCTGCAAGAAAGGGGAGCAGAAGTGAATTTAAAATAAAACCCAGGTGACTGGGTGGCTCAGTCATTTAAGCATCTGACTTCAGCTCAGGTCATGATCTCTTGGTTTGTGAGTTCAAGCCCGAATTGGGCTCTGCACTGACAGTGTGAAGCCTGCTTGGGATTTTCTGTCTCCCTCTCTGTCTGCTCCTGTCGCACTTGATCTCTCTTTCTTTCTCTCTCTCTCTCAAAATAAGTACACTTAAAAAAAAAAAAAAAAGTAAAATCAGTGAAACTTAAGCCTCAGACCCCTCACTTTGCCTCTCCCAAGGCCTTATACCTAATTTTATCTTCACAATTGTGTGCCTTGAGAGATCCAAATTATCTAAGTACCAAACTCCATAAAACGTGGATCTGGAGCAGATGGAATGGGTCAGGATTGATAGCCAAAGGTGGCAGTTGGGCACAGCTTTCTGCCCCCCAGCTGCCCTGCAGTCAGGCCAGGAGATGCAACAGAATAAGGCCCAGCTGAAGTTTAAATCCAAAAGACAGACTAGAGGTCTGGCTTTTCCCACTCACTGGTGTGTGACCGTTGGCAAGTCACTGAACTGCTCTGAGCTATCCCTGTTCTACCTGTGAAGTGGGCCACTTGACCTCACACAGTTGCGTAGAGCAAACTCAGAGAAGAGGCTCTGTAAATTGGACAGACCACACCGCATCAAGGGCCAGATGGTGATGCCAGGATGGCTCTTCCTGGTGCACATTAAACTTAACTCTAGCAACAACCCTGTTGGGTGGGGGAGGATTGGGGCACATGTTCTGTACAGGAGAAAATTGAGGCAGAGAGCAGCTAAGAATTTTTTTAAAATATTTTACTTATTTTTGAGAGAAAGAAAGTGTGAGTGGGGGAGAGGCAGAGAGAGAGGGAGACACAGAATCTGAAGCAGGCTCCAGGCTCTGAGCTGTCAGCACAGAGCCTGGCGTGGGGCTTGAACTCACGGACCACGAGATCATGACCTGAGCTGAAGTCAGACACTTAACTGACTGAGCCACCCAGGTGCCCCACTAAGAATCTTTTTTAAGGTCAAAAGAATAGACTCAGATCCTAAGATTTTGATGTTTTCCAGTTAAAACTGGGGGTAAAGCAGACCCTAGAGTAAGTTTCCCTGGCAGGGAACCCCTTGAAAGATAGGAATGGGTGGGGGATTCATGTCACACATACACACTCTGCCCCAAGAGCCAGGGCAGCAGCTAGGCTTCACCTGGGGAGAAGGGATCAGGGTAGTTTGTTCAGAGTTGGCAGACGGGTGCTTCTTGACAGGGAACGGGTAAGGGGTGATGCTGGCCAAACTGACTGATATGCCTTCCAGCCACCCTCCTTACTCTAGGGTCTGTGTGGGTCCTCTCAGCACAGCTATGCCCAGTCCCTGCCCTGTTCCATGCCCTGCCAAGCCCCAGTCCAGCCACACTGAAGAAGGAGGAAGATCCACCTCTGCTCCCCACTCACTAAGGTGTGGAGTAAATAATCCTGAATTTGATTTTGAGTAGGGCTCAGCTCCCAAATGTGTGTTGCTTACTCAGTTGCTTACTCTCTGAACCTTGATTTCAGTATCTGTAAAATGGGATAATAGGATGGACCTATGATATTTCTCTTGTGGAAATATTATCATTTACTGGCCTGTCAGTAAAAATGTCCTGCCCAGCCAGGTGTCACTTCCAGTAACTGACACATCCAACCTGTCTGTATTTCAGTCCCTCAGCCCGTATACCTGCCTGCCACCTCTTGGGGGGGTGTCTCAGAGTCTCAGCACCTGTAGAGCACACCCTGCTTCTGCTGACCTGCTGTCTGCCCTGAGCCAGGAGGAGCAAGATCTCATCGGGCCAGTGGTTGCCCTGGGGTATCCCCTGCACAGGGCTATCGGGGCTCTGCAGAAGACAGGGCGACAGAGCCTGAGCCAGGTAGGTGCATTGGTCCCAGAGCTGGGGGAGCTGTGGGTGTGGAGCCAGGGGAGGGGCCAAGTGGTTTTTATCTTTAACGTGAAAAAGTTTTTTCTCCTCTTTAGAAGCAGAACCTTAGCCTGGCATTAATTGTTGAGGGTTATGAGCAAGTTTCTAGACCCTAAGGCTATTTTCTCCATAAGAGTTTATCAGGAATCCCTGTGCCCAGAGAGTTTTAATATTCGATTCCTGTCCCAGTCTCTGCCCCAAGCACAGGGGGCTGGAGCTTTGGGCAACCAATAATCTTTCCAGAGATCCCCAATAGAACCTTCTGCAGAGAGAGATGTTTTATACCTGTGTTGTCTAATACAGTAGACACTAGCTGTATGTGGCTATTTGAAATATGGACAGTGTGACTAAAAAACTGAATTTTTTTACTTAATTATAATTAATTTAAATTTAAATAGCCACATGTAGCTGCTTGCTACCATATTGGAAGGCACAGCTCTAACCACTTCCTTCAATGAACAGTTTATCTGTATTCATATCCATCTCTTTCTCTTTTGATCTACCCATCCATCCATCTAATCAACAGCATTTACTGGGAACTTCCTAGGTGTTTAGATGCAGTGGGGAGCTATGGGGAAAACTCCCTCTTGATGGAAGGGCCTGCAAAGAATTTATGGCCATTCTTAATCGACCACAAGGAGGTTCTAGTGATCAGGAAAGTCTTCATGGAGGTGGCACGTCTTCAGCTAGACTTCAAGGATGAATAAGCTCTGAATTTGAAGGAAAGGGAAGGGATGATATTCCAAGCAGGAGAAACAGTACGAGCAAAGGGGTGGAGAGACAGCAAGGAAGGGTTCGGGAGGCCCTGATCCCACCAGTCTTGCTGGAGTGCAGGGTACATGATGCAGGCTGGTAGGAGATAAGACAGGGAAAGGGAGGGGCGCCTGGGTGGCTCAGTTGGTTAAGCAACCAACTTCGGCTCAGGTCGTGATCTCACAGTTTGTGAGTTTCCGCCCTGAGTCAGGCGCTGTGCTGGCAGCTCAGAGCCTGGAGCCTGCTTCTGATTCTGTGTGTCTCTCTCTGCCCCTCCCCTGCTCATGCTCTGTCTCTCTCTGTCTCAGAAATAAATAAACATTAAAAAAAAATTAAAAAAAAAAAGACAGGGAAAGGGAGTTGAGGGCAGATTGAGGGTGCCTTGAAGACTGGGCTGAGAAGTTTATAAATGACCCACTAACAACAGGAAGGCATGGAAGGATTGTGAGTTGGGGCAGGAGGTAACATTGAATGCCACTGCCCGAACTTCCCTTCTCCCACCTGAATGTAACATCCTACTTCACGTTGTTTCTGACACATGGGAACTCTTTTGGTTGGAAAGCTGAGCTGAAGGTATCAAAAGGTCCCAGGGCAGTTGGCACTTAGTTGTCTCTGTGCCCCCCTACCATCAGAGGGCTTGGGCACTCTCTCCACAGTCATGTAGATGACTGCTATGTGCTGGGTCCCTGAGGTCTGGAGCTGCCTGCTCTTGGATAAGAAGTGACAAAAGGAGAGTAACTCTCAGACTGGAGCTGAAGCAGGATGTGCTGTTGCCAGGTTGAGGAGGTGGGCGAATGCCCCTGGCCCCCTTCCCTGCCCATATTTGCTTCCGCTCTCCTCTGGCTTCATTGGTCTGTGCCTTGTCCTGGAGGAAGACTTGCAACATGGTGACCCCCGTGTGGTTAACATGGAGGCTGCTGACATTTCTTGAACACCTTCTTTGTGCCAGTCCCTCAATCAGAGAGTATTCAATTAGGCCTTCTCAATTCCGCACAGTTGCCACCACTGTCCCCACTTTGCAGATGAGGAAATTGAGGCCAGGGAGGTTCATATAAACAATCAGTGGCAGAACTGGCATTGAGGCCAGGCTGGTTTGACTCTGAATCTTTGCTGCATGCTTCTTTTCTCTCATTTCTTGTGGGAGAACCTTCCAGGGAAGCATCCCAGGCTGATATGAAATTTAAAAGTAGATCTAAAGTTGCCCCCACCTTCAGCTGCTGCTGAAAGCCAGGACCTTAGCCAAGAAACTGGCCAGGAGGACTATGAAGGACCAGGCCCATGGTGCGGGTCTGCACATTAGTTGGAGCCAGCACAGGGCACTGGCCTCCCTGTGGGTGGGCTGGAAGAATCACACTATATCAGGAACATTGTGTTTCCAGATATGTACTGACCACCTGCCTGGCCAGCCGGATCTCTGGGTGGCCTTCTTCCCTGGTGGTCAATCAGGAGCCAAGCCCTGAGGTGTGGGCCTGAAGGACTACTGGATGACTTCATCTGTCCTCCCCCACCAAGTTAATATTCCCCGCTGTTCTGTGAAGTTCCGCCATTAACTGAGCAGCTCCTTTGGGTTCAGATTCCTTCTCACCTTAAAGGATATATACTATAGTAAACCTCTTTGGCCAGAAATTAATGACAGATGGTCCAGGAGGGAGGTTATGGAGACAGAGCTCTTAGAAGAACCAGGGAGAAAAGAGGAGATACAAAAGATAAGCTTTGTCCATGATTGCTTCGTTCCTTCCACAAGGATGGATGTGCCCACTGACTGCTTATAGGACAGCATGGGCAGTGTGTGTGAGCATCCATAGGCCAGGCACCTTGCTATGGGACTCCAGGCACCTAAGGGCCCCTCTTTGAGTCTCACTTTCCCTATTCACAGAAGGGAGGGATTTACAGTCCCGTCCTGGGGTGTGAAAGTGACATCCTTACCCACCCTGGGTCCTGAGGCAGATCTGGTGGCTTCTACAGTCTTCTAGGCCTAAAAGCTGACCAACCAGCAGAATCTTTACAAATGTAGATCTACAGGACCTACTCTGGAGGATCCCAGTCAGTAAATCCGGAGTGGGGCCAATGGCCTATCATTTTAAAGATCTGAAGGTGGTTCTGATATGCAGCCTGGCAAGGAGTCTACTGGTATGGATTGAGGTCAGCCGTCCCTTGAGTCAGTAGTTCTCAGCCTTGGCTGTACATTAGAATTACCTGGAAAGCTATAAAGATCCCAGGGCCCTGAAGTGCCTGGATAGCTCAATCAGTTAAGTGTCGGACTTTGGCTCAGATCATGATCTCACGGTTTGTGGGTTCAAGCCCCATGTCAGGCTCTACACTGATAGTGTGGACCCTGCTTGGGATTCTCTCCCCTACCCCCTCTCTCTGTCCCTCCCCTCCTCACACTCTCTGTCTCAAAATAAATAAACTTAAAAAAAAAAAAAATCCCAGTGCCCAGACTGCCCCCTAGACTGGTTATATCAGAGCCTCTGGAAGCAAGCATCAGTGGTTTATGGGTAAAGTTCCCAGGCAGCTACAGTCAGCACCAAGGCCAAGAACCTTTGCTGTGGGTGAACCAAGAGGCAAAGGGCATATCCATCACCTGCTCTTGACATACTCCTGTTTCCACCTTTGGAAATCCTGTCTACTTTTCAATGCAGCTCAAAGCCCCTCCTCTAGCAGTTGAAGCCCCTCTGCTAGCAGCTGGGCCCCTGATGGACAAGGCTGAGAGGTCAGGTGATCTAGGCTGTAGTCCTGGGTCCCTGGGCAAGCTGTCCACCCTGCTTGGACCTGTTTCTTCAATTGTGCTAGGAAGGCTTGGCTTGGTGGTTTACAAAACATGCTCAGAGCAAGGTCTAGGTGTCCTGAGGCAGGAGCATTGGACTCCTGACTCCCCTGCTCCTGCCCCCAGTTCTCCCAGAGCAGCTCCAACCTTCCTATTATTGTTGAAGCCTCCTGATGCTTGGACAGTTCAGAAGCTAAAACAGTTTGAAAACCATTAATCTGTATGATCCATGCTTTCTGCCCAGCTCTGAAGGTCTGCAGAAACCCGACCTGTTTCTTTTCCACTTATACCTGTAATTCTTGTGGTCTGCAGCCTTCACTTGGCATCAACTCTCTATAAATCTTGCTTTGATTTGCCTGGCACTCATGATTTCCCGTATCTGGTTCATCTCCCCCACTAAGCTGTGAGCTCCCTGGAGGTGGTTCTTAGTTCATTTTATAAACACAGCATACGTTTATTTAGCTCCTTCTGCGTGCTATGCTGGGTGCTCTGGGAACGCAGCAGTGAACAAGACTGATACAACCCTTCCCTCATGGAGCGAGAAGTCAGCAGATGAGAACGTTGAGGAAGATAGTAGAACAGCTACAGAGTTGTATGTGCTCGGATAGGGGAAGCATGGGTGCTGTGGGAGCAGCAGGCAAGGCACCCAGTGGAGACTGGGGGCAGAGGCTTCCCAGGGAAGAGGAGTGAGACTGACCTTGGCGGAGGGAGTTAGATATGCAGAGGCCTGGGGGTGCTGAGGGAGTCAAGGCCACTGATGGGCAGGGACAGGCCTTTGAGCTCTGGTAAGGAGGCAGTACTTCATCCTGAGGGCAAAAACAACTTGTGGTGACTGAACACGGAGTGACTTGAACAGGTTTTCAGGCCTGTGGGATCTTCCTCTGTCCTCCCTTTCCTGGCACTGGGGCTCACATGGTCCTGGATGGCAGACACATATGTATCCAGGGACGGGGGTGCTCACAGGTGTGGAGGGTGAGGAGGCTGCTTTCACATGGGTGGGTGCTTACCAGGGAGGGTGAACAGACCGGGATGGGTGTTGGGGAGACGCCTGTGTTTCAGGCCAGTCCCACTCCCTGCTTAGGTTCTGGGAACCCTCTAGCTCATCCTGATAGCCCTTTCCCTGGATTACAGCCCCCAGTTTGGGACAGTTGGTCAGAACTTGCTGCCCACCTGTCCCTAGGTCCCCAGAGGAGGCCTTTGTCCCTCTTTTATTGGCTCACAGGGTCTCTGGGGCCATTTCATGTATGGTGGGTCGACTGGTCAGCCTGGTCTGAGCTCAGGCCTCACCAAGGTCCCCAAGGTTCCTCTTAATCTGTTCCATCGGCTGACTGTGCCACTCCTTTAACCACACCCCTTTCCTCTTTCTGGCCCAGTTTCTCAGCTACCTTAGCGCCTGTGATCGGCTGCTGCGGCAAGGCTATGAGGAGGGCCTGGTGGAGGAGGCCATGGAGATGTTCCAGTTCTCCGAGAGCCAGGTCAGCAGGGCCACCTGCCCAGGCCCAGGGGAAGGGGAGGGGAAGGACGTGGGTGCACACACGAGCCTAGCATACAGGGGCACACCAGTACCAGAGGCACAGCCTGGGGGCCATCAGGAGCTAGCCTGCTTGCTCAGCCCTGGGGAGAGGGAGACAGCCCAGGGAGGCAGAGGGAGGCAGGAAGGGAGGGAAACAGGAGGCACGGCTTTTGTGTCATGTAGCTGAATCAATACACAAATATTATAGAGTGCCTGGTCTGTCAGATACCCAGAGGAGCCAAGCGCAGCACAAAGATGCTTAAACTCTGCTTGGGGAGTTTGCTGCCTACCTGGAAACCCAGAATGCAGGCACCCGGGGGCCCAGTAGTACATTCTGAGTGGCCAATGTATATGAACTGTCCACAGTGTGCTGTTGGCCTAGGCTCTGCCAGGCAGCTCTTCACAGGGGCTGAGGGAAGGACAGAGGGATGGGAGAAATGCTGAGGAGGAGGGAGGGAGGATAAGCAGAGACTTTTCAAGCATTGGGATCAGAGGAGGAAGGAAGGCAGAGGCTGCACTGTGTGAAACCTCGGCAGGGTTTGGGGCCTGGGCAGAGACCCCAAGCTGTGCATCCTCTGGGCACCTGTATGCAGCCTCCTCCTTTCTGTCCGAGTACCAGAGCACAGAGAGTCAGGAATGGGCCAGAGTGAGGGAGTAAAGCCAGGATGGAGCCAGTGGCCAAGCCAGGGCCTCCTTCCTTGGCACAGGAACGGAGGTCCACGCCCATGTCAGCCAGAGGTACAGGCAAAATGTAGGTGCTGCCCAGGATCAGGCTTACCTGGCTTGGGGAGTCCTTAGCTTTCTGGGAGTAGATACAGTGGGCACCAGGAAGGGGGCTCCACAGGGAGATGGCTGGCCTGGCAGAGTCCCCAGCACTCTCTCTGCTTCCACTTCCTCAGGCAGGGGAATTCCTGCGCCTCTGGGAACAGTTCAGTGACATGGGCTTCCAGCAGGACCGGATCAAGGAAGTACTGCTGGTCCATGGCAACCGCCGTGAGCAAGCCCTGGAGGAGCTGGTGGCCTGTGCCCAGTGACCTCGGCGCTTTCCACAATGCCTGTGCATCCCTCAACCTGTGCCAGACCTGGCAATCCATTCCAGCTCTGTTATTAAGACTATATAAGAGGGGCGCCTGGCTGGCTTAGTTGGAGCATGTGTCTCTTGGTCTCAGGGTTGTAAGTTCAAGCCCCACTTTGGATATAGAGATTACTAAAAAAAAAAAAAAAAAAAAATAAGTAAACTTACAAAAAAAAAAAAGACTACATAAGAATAACAGTGAGGTGTGCTCATTGTAAAAATGTAAATAATGCCAAAGGTGGAGGTAAATATTGTAGGGGAGGCCAAACTTTACCCATTTAGGTTTTCAGCTGGGGCTCTTGAACAAAAAGATTAAGAAGAGAAAAAGTTTATTAATGCATGTGGCACACATCATGTGGGAGAAACCTCAGTAAAAAAGTAACTCAAAGCAGCAGTTACAGCTCTGGCTTCTATAGCGTTTTCAACAAAGACAGTAAATTTGTAGAGAAATACAGGACAAAGGAAACCGGTTTTAGGCTTCCAGGGATGGCATGCTGTGGGGAGGGTAAATATGTGGAAATAAACCAAGGAGTAGGAGTATTTGCAGATCCCTCTGGAGCATCACTGGGCTGATAAAAATCTATTTCCAGAAAAGGGGAATTTATACCTTAGAATTAGGCAAAATTGGGGGGTGGGGAGGCGAGGAAGGGTAGGGAGGGCCTTTTTCCTGCATTTGCTGCTCTTTTTTTTAATGTTTATTTTTGAGAGAGAGAGAGAAAGAGCATGAGAGTCTGAGCAGGGGAGGGGGAGGGGCAGAGAGAGAGGGAGACAGAATCCAAAGCAGGCTCCAGTCTCTGAGCTGTCAGCACAGAGCCCGACATAGGTTCGAACTCACGAACCCTGAGATCATGACCTGAGCCAGAGTCAGATGCTTAACTGACTGAGCCCCCACAAGCGCTCCTGCATTTGCTGCTTCTTAATTACCTTCAACTCAAAATAATTTTTATGTCAAAGAGGCATATTTTGGGGTGATATTCTGGTCTCCTTCAATACTAAAACAATCAGCTGAGAGTTGAAAGTGTTTGCTTCTGGGGAGGGATAGAGGGGGGAGCAAGGACAAGGAACTGTGTTTTTTCATACAAGCCTTGTAAAACTACCTGTATTGGACTCTCTGTGTGCATTAGTAATTTTGATTTTAAGAATACTGAAACAGGGGCACCTGGGTGGCTCAGTTGGTTGAGCATCCGACTTTCGATCTCAGCTCAGGTCTTGATCTCAGAGTTGTGAGTTTGGATCCTGCATTGGGCTCCATGCTGGGTGTGGAGCCTACTTAAATAAATAAATAAATAAATAAATAAATAAATAAATAAATAAAAATAAATACATGGTGAGCAGTTCTTTTTGGTCCTGTGGGCTCCTGGTCATAGTGTGGAAAGAACATCTAACTGGTTCAGAAGACCTAATTCTTATTTTGTTTCTGCTAATGACTGGCTCAAGGCCTCTTTGGGCCTTAGTTTCCCTGGGAAAAGTGGAGAGACTGGACATGGCTACTATCCATAAAAATCCCCTGGAGAGTGTGTTAAAGAGTCCCAGGCCCTACTCCTGGGTGATTTGATTTAAAAAGTCCAGTTTGGCAGCCCCAGGAATCTGTTTTGTTTTTGTAAGAAACTCTCCAGGGTTGTTTTTTGGTTTTTTTTTTTTAATCTTTTTTTTTTTTTTTTAATTGCTTTTGTTGTTGTTGACCTCCTGCACCCATTTCTTCCAGCCACTAATCTGTTCTCTGTATCTCCAAGCTTGGTTTTTGTTCTTATGGTTTTCTTTTTCAGATTCCATATATAAGAGAAATCATTGTGGTATTTGTCTTTCTCTGTCTGACTTATTTCACTTAGCATAACACCCTTGAGGTCCATCCATGTTGTCTCAAATGGCAAGATTTCATTCCATTTATGGCTGGATAATATTCCATTGTATATATACACCACAGTTCCTTTATCCGTTCATCCATGTATGAACAGTTAGGTTGTTTCCATATCTTGGTTATTGTAAATAATACTGCAGTGAACATGGGGTGCATCTATCGTTTTGAGTTAGTGTTTTTGTTTTCTTTGAATAAATACCCAGAAGTAGAACTTCTGGATCATATGGTAGATCTATTTTTAATTTTTTGAGGAGCCTCCCTAGTGTTTCCCATAGTGACTACACCAGTTGCGTTCCCACGAACAGCGCACAAGGGTTTCTTTTTTTCCACATCCTCACCAACACTTGTTATTTCGTATCATTTTGTTAATAACTATCCTAACTGTTGTGAGATGACATCTCGTTGTGGTTTTGATTTGCATTTCCCTGATAATTAGTGATGTTGAGCATCTTTTCATGTACCTGTTAGCCATCTGTATGTCTTCTTTGAAAAGATGTCTATTCAGATCTTCTGCCCATTTTTAAATAGAAAAAAAAATTGTTGTTGTTGAGTTATAGGAGTTCTTTACATGGTTTGGACATTAGCCCAATATCACATATATGATTCACAAATATTTCTCCCATTCATTAGTTGCCTTTTCATTTTGTTGATGGTTTCTTTTGCTGTGCAGAATCGTTTTCTTTTCCACTTGTTCATTTTTGCTTTTGTTGCTTTTGCTTTTGATGTCAGATTAAAAAAATCATCACCAAGACCTATGTCAAGGAACTTACTGCCTATGTTGTCTTCTAGGAGCTTTATGGTTTCAGGTCTTACATTCTAGTCTTTAACCCCTTTTCATTTAATTTTTATGTATGGTATAAGATGATGGCGGAGTTTTATTCTTTTGCATGTGTCTGTCCTGTTTCCCCAGCCCCATTTATTGAAGAGACTATCCTTTCCCCATTGTATATTCTTGGCTCCCTTGTTGTAAATTAATTAGCCATATATGTATGGATTTATTTCTGGGTTCTCTGTTCTGTTGCATTGATCCATGTGTCTGTTTTTACACCAGTACCTCTGAGGATTCTTATTCAATATAATGGGCCCATGGCCAGTGTGTGTGACCCTCAGGGCCAGCAGATCTAGGCCTTCTTCTGCTCTGACAATCTGGCAGTCTTTCCTCATTTGTGGAGCAGACAGGTTGGGACCAGAATTATCTCCAATCACCCAGGCCTACCCTCTGGAGGACCCCAGGCATTGAGGGGACCAGTTGTGGGAACTGTTCCATGATGAGGCAGCAGAGGTCAGAAGCCAAGACACTAGCGCCCCCACCCTTCCCAACTGGCCCTGTGCAAAGACCTGCAGCAGTTACCAGAGAATCAAGACCTCTCAGACATCTCCACCCAGCGAGCAGGACTGGACCTGGAGCAGAGGCCCGTAAAAAAACAAAATCTTCCACGCTTCTCATGGCTTCAACCCAGACACCTTGTTGGAATGTGTAGTGAGGACTTCTGCAGGCCTATACAGGCCTAAACAATGTCTGGGACCAGAACCCAGGACTCCTCAGGTCTATCCAGCCCCTGGGTGCTTTCCACTAAGCCTCAATGCCTGCCAACTTGAAATCACATTAAAAATATTCTTTGGCCTTAAAACTTGCTTTGAGTAACTTGCGGGCAATGCAAAACTATTTGAGAATGTTGGCAAGACGGCATAAAGTTGGTCAAAAACAAAACTGCACTTGAAAAGAATAAAATTCAAGTTCAATTTCTAAAAAAGCAGTGTTAAATCCAAACCCATTTGTATTCTGTTTGTTCTTAAAGATTTTTTAAGTAATCTCTACATCTAGCATAGGGCTCAAACCCACAACCCTGAGACTGAGAGTCACATGCTCCATTGACTGAGCCAGCTAGGTGCCCCTCAAAGCTATGTGTGTTTTGATTAAGGTAGTCTGGCCTCGGCCTGCCACCTTATTAAGTGCCCTTGATTAGAAGCGGCCAATTGGTAGGCTCCTCACTCATGTTGCACGTCCTTCTGCCATGCCACTCCTCCCATCCTTCGCCCACCTGCACAAAACTTCCCACTCCTAGGAAACTACTGCCTGATTTAAAATGGGGCATCAATCTGACCCCTGATTTCAGCTCAGGTCATGATCTCTCAGTTAGTGAGTTTGAACCCTATATCAGGCTCTGTGCTGATGGTGTGAGGCCTGTTTGGGATTTTCTCTCTCTCCCTCCCTCTCTTCCCCTCTCTGCTCACACCCTGTCTCTCAAAATAAATAAATAAACTTAAAAAAACAAAACTACTTTGTTAAAAAAATAAATAAAATGGGGGCATCAATCAGCACATTATAAATTTAAAATGTTTTTAGGAGGTGGGATAGTGTAGTAGTTAAAGGCATGGGTTCTGAAGCTGAAGGCATAGATCTGAGCTGAAACTGTAGCCTTATCACTAACTAGCTGTGTCACCTCTAGAAAGTCCCATATTCTCTCTGTACCTCAGTTCCTTATCTATCAAATATGGATTCTGAAACTTCCCAGTTGGGATGACTGAATGAGATAGAACACAGGCAGCTTGTGGCATGGTATCTAGTAGCTATTTACTGGTTTATACATATTTATACCCTGCCGTGGTTCTGTAATCACTGCTACCTTTACTCTGATCATCCTCATCACTGTTATGGTCAACAAATCTCTAGCATTTATAATGGAACTCAGAAAACCTGGGAGAACGCCTCCAACCCCACCCATGACTCAGCCTCTCTGGTCAGCAGGGTGTAAGGAAGCCACAGCAGAGGATTCTGGGAGTACCACCTGAGAGGGTAATCTCTACAGCTAATGCTAAGGGTCAGGTGACTGTATTGGTGGCCCCTTGAAACAGCAGCAGATGACACACTTTGCTACCTGAAGGCAAGATCTTAACAAGATGACTCTTGGAGAGGGGGCCAGGAGGATGGTGGAGCCAGGGCACTGGGTGGCAACCAAGGTCTGGCCTGGAGAAGCAGAATGAAGCAAATTCTACCTTAGTTCTTGCTGTCACTTCTTTCCCCTCTCCTCTGCCTCCTGTGTTCCCACCATGTTCCCTCAGAGCTCAGTGCCAGCAGATTGAAGAAGGCCTCCTGACTCTGGGAGTTTGGGGGTAGGGGGAGGTAGTGTCTCATAGACTATTTCTGGCTGAACTCTCAAGTTCTTTGCTCCCTTTCCGGGGGAGGGGGGGAGGTGTGCGTATATTGCCCTTTAGCTGACCCTTCTGCCTCCTTCTTATAAGGACCTTTTGTGATTACATCGGACCCACCTGGATAATCTAGGATAATCTCCCATCCTGAACCCTTAACTTAATCACATCTCCAAAGTCCTTTTTACCATGTAAGGTAACATAATTCCAAGGATTAGGACATGGATGTCTTCAGGGGACCATTATTCAATGTACCACAGAGGGGCAATGCTTAACCCAAAATAATATGTGACTAATGGTGGAATTTCAAGCAGTCACATAAAGGAGTTTTGTTGTGTTTTGCATTACTCTTTATACAAAGGACGTTTCTATTTTGGAACA